TTTAAAAAAAGAATGAAAAAAAATTTCAGCACATGAGCACTTGGAGCACATACTCAAACTATATCCAAAACATAACAAAGAATAAATGCCATCATTTCAAATTCCAGGGTACTGTGTCTTTGAGGACCATCAAAGCCTTTATCTCAGGAAATAAGTCTCCATATACATACATTCAAAGGCATTTAATACATAGAAATGTAGGTAGCTCAAATTTACATAATTTCAAATTTCAGTTTCTCTTATAAATTTAGAGTAATTGGCATTCCTTTCACTTCTAATTGATCGAAAATTTGACTTTAGATATCTAATCAATAATTTAAATGGCTGAAACCATTTTTTAAAGAGGTATATGATTTTTACATGCTGAAATCATCTACTAGAAATTTCTTTAAAATGAAACCCTTAAATTTCAAATTATATTAAAAGCATGTGATAAAGGGGATTCACTACAGTCATATGATAGTAGTTCAAGGTCCATTTGAAAAAACTTAGCAGACCTTTCAAAATCCCTTAAGATTCAGCAAACAACCAACTAGGACCATGCTATAATGGTGAAAACCTAAAAGTGATTCTTAACAGCAATCTCTTCCCCAGTCTTCCAGACTCCAGTTTGGAGGTGAGGATAGATGGGAGAGACACATAGTTAGCTTCATAGTTGCTTCCATAATAAAAACAATAAAAACCACAAAAGCAAAAATTGACAATATCTTCTTCAGTGTGAGACAGGCAAAAATATAGATTCATAAGATACTAAAGGGCTTCTTAAAAATTTTGAAATTGCTCTGTAGTAAAATTTGATTAACATCAGGATAAACACAACCTTGTTCACTTATAGTAGGCTTATGGTTGTCTTGGAAATGCTAACCATATGATATCTATCATATCTATATATGATAGATAGATAATATAAACTATACATATGCAAGCACTCACATGAGCAACAAATTACCCCTATTTCTTATAATACATTTGTCTACTTGAAAAGCTACTGAAAAACTATCAGAAATAAAAAGAACTCAGGGCGGAGCTTGGCGGGCTGTGTGCGCCCACTTAGGCCCTGAGCGGTCAGCGCATACAGACTGAGGCTACACCCAGGCATCGGCTTGGGCACAGCAACAGCACCTTGCGCGAGGTCCCGCCCCCCACACCTGCAACCTATCCCTGGCAGGGTGCATAGAGGTGCCACCCGTCGCTGAGCCCGGCTGACTGAGCCAGGAAATGGCTTTCCTGAGTGGCATGGCCCACACCCTGGTGCAGTTGGGCCTGTACTTAAAAAAATACCAGAAGAGCTTTTTACGAAACTGGAGAAAATTGGAAAGGGTTCTTTTGATGAGGTGTTCAAAGGTAATGACAGTCGGACTCAAAAAGTGGTCGCTATAAGAATCACTGGACTGGAGAAGATGAGATAGAGGACATTCAACAAGAAATCACAGTGCTGAGTCGGTGTGACAGTCCGTATGTAATCAAATATTACGGATCCTACTTGAAGGATACAAATTGGGGTAATAATGGAATATCTTGGTGAAGGCTCTGCATTCGATCTATCAGAACCTGGCCCTTTAGATGAAACTCAGATAGTCACCCTATTAAGAGAAATTAAGAACGGACTTGATTATCCGCATTCAGAGAAGAAAATCCACAGACGTCAAAGCCGCCAATATTCTGCACTCCGAGCTTGGAGAGCTGAAGCTGGCTGACTTTGGAGTGGCAGGCCAGCTGACAGATACCCAGATAAAGTGGAACACCTTCGTGGGCACCCCCTTCTGGAGGGCGCCCGACATCATTCAACCGTCAGCTTTACGACTCCAAGGTGGACATCTGGTCACTGGGAATAACAGAGCCATAGAACTGGCGAAAGGGGAGCCCCCTCATTCCGAGCTGCGTCCCATGAAGGTTTTATTCCTCATTCCAAAGAACAACCCCCCGACGCTGGAAGGAAACTACAGCAGACCCCTCAAGGAGCTCGTGGAGGCCTGTTTGGGCAAGGAGCCAAGCTTTGGGCCCACTGCTAAGGAGCTGCTGAAGCACAAATTCATAACGCGCAATGCAAAGGAAACGTCCTACTTGACGGAGCTCATCGACAGGTGCAAGAGGTGGAGGCCGAGCAGAGCAGCAGACGACTCAGGCTCTGAGGACTCGGATGCGGAAACACATGGCCAGGCATCTGGAGGTAGCGACTCCGGGGACAGGATCTTCACAGTCTGAGCGAAGGATCCCAAGACTCTTGAAAACGGAGCTCTTCAGGCATCGGATTTGAAAAGAAATATGATGAAAGACATCTCAAAGAGGACTTTCTCTCAGTGTTTATCAATGATTATTCCTCCTGTTTGCGGAGCTGAAGGAGAAGAGCCAGGCGTGTGGAAGGAACCTGGGGTCCCTCCATAGAGGAGCTGCGGAGGTACCATCTACCTGGCAGAAGAGGCCTGCCCCAGGATCTCCGACACCATGGTGGCCCAGCTGGTGCAGCACCTGCAGAGATATTCTGTAAATTGTGAAGGAACTTCGTCCCACTGATATTCCTTTGGCATTTGGGATTTTGTTTTTCCTCCTTTTTTCTGCATCCAACTTTTGAAAGTCAATGAGAGCCTTTGACAACTCTCCTGGAGGAAACTTGGAGAGCCACCCCCAAGGCCAAACCTTCCAGGGACACATTCAGCCCTTGCTGTGCCATAGCCTGATGAGGTCTCTTGCATGGGGTGGGAAGAGCCAGTTCCTTCAAGCAATTATTTTATCTTTTTTATTGTTTTTAATTTTAACCATAGTGCACATATTCAAGGAAAATGTCTTTGATAACAAAACCACTGAAGTGTATATTTGGGATTATGATAAGGCAACTAAAGACATGAAACCTCAGGTATCCTGCTTTAAATCGATAACTACACTGGGAGATGGAGAATCGCTGGTGGATCTGTGTACAGATTTGTACTTATTTTTACAGAAACCTTTTTTGCGTGCATAAGGAATCACTGTGTACAAATCGGCCAAGTGCTTCTGTAGATAATGTGCGTGGAGTAAATATTTGACAAGCCATAACTTGAGTCTATTGCCTTGCCTTTATTACATGTGAATTTTGAATCATGTGACCAGTGATTTGAGTTTTATTTTGTATTTGCAGGGTTTGCAATTAACAATAATTAACGCCCCTCTATGGAACACTCCTATATGAACCTCCACAGATGCAAGTATCCATCTCATTTGCCCCTCACCCGTTTTGGTACACTTAGGAATTGACTTCACTTTTCATCCATGGTACTTTCTTAGAGTTTTTAATTGGAACATATCTTGTCTCATGAAATTGTAAATTATTATTCTGAGTTTCCCCAGATGAAGCGCTCTCATCTAACCCTTGTTTGGAGACGTGCACTTGGTGGACTGTCCTGCCCACACAATTTTCTGTTGCACCTCTTAGCGGAATCTGCATATCATCTTTCCCACCTGGAAGTGTCTGGATGCTTACACCAATAAATTTTATAACACACACACACAAACACACACACACACACAGAACTCAGTAATATGGTTAGCTAAAAAATACACACACAAAAATTCAAAAATGTCTTGGTAAAATAACCATCAGTTTGAAAATACAAAGAAAAGGAAAAGATTCACAACAGTTTAAAACAAAATCTATGAACAAAATTTAGTAAGAAATGTGTGACACAAACTATAAAAAGACTAGAATGAAAGGAGAGTTCCAATGCTCTGTAATGGCAAAACTTGATTATTTGAAGGTTTGTTTTATCCAAATTAATATTTGAAGTTGACAAAATCCCTATAAAAACTCCTGTGAAATTTCGAGAGAGAAAGGATGTTGTTGCTAAAACCATTCTTAAATAGTTTTCCAACCAAGGGTTAGAATCTTGACATATAAATGGGGAGAGTGTTATAGTTTGGATATGAGTTATCCCCCAAAGCTCTTGTGTTAATTCAGAAATGTTTGGAGGTAAAATGATTAGATTATAAAAGCTGTAACCTAATTAGTTCATCCTAGTTTGAATGAACTGACTGGATGGTAACTTTAGGCAGGTAGAGTATGGCTGGAAGAGTTGGGTCACTGGTGGCATGCATGCCCTGCAAAAGCCCATCTTCCCTCGATTCCTCTCTCTCTCTTCTTCCTGACTCTACAATGAAGGGAGCAGCTTTCCTCCATTGGGTCCTTCCTTCATGATGTGCAGCCTCACCTCCAGATCACAGCAATGGAATCAGCATTCTATGGACTGAGACACCTCTGAAACCGTGAGCCCCAAGTAAACTTATTGTCACCAGCTGGCCAGGCTGGCAACTAAAAAAACACACAAACACAGAAAGACCTTTTTGGGGGGTCAGGGACGGCTCTGAGACCTCAGGTTTCAGCTCCCATGCTGGAGGGCAAGGGGAGCAAGGGAGGCAAGAGAGAGAGCACACCGTGAACCCCTCTGTTTAATTAGGGGAAAGGCATTGGATAGGAAGTTCCACTCAAATAAGGCAAGGGATCAGGTTTCGAAAGGTGGAGTCTTATTGGTGATGTCCTGTGGTCAGGAGATTGACTAACATCTTGGCAAGTCACTCCCATCTCAGCTGCTGTGTCAGAGAGAGAAAAGGCACTCATGCTCCCACAGCCCCCAAAAAGCACCTAACACCAGACCATACGCTCAAATGCGCATAGCTCACACACACAGCCCATGGATGGCTCTCGACAACTTATCCTCCTCTAAGTTGTTCTTTTCAGGTGTCTTGATAACTGTGACCCAAAAGCTAACTAAAACAGGGATGGGGAGTTGTACAAATGTTCGGTCATAACAATGAGTCTATTTTTTAAAAAGTATGATGAGGTAAGGACTTTTCCTACTGGATATGCCAATGTATAAAAATAAAATCATAAAACAATACAATGTTTTTTCCAGGGTTAGTCAAAGGAATATTATTAAAAGAGATTCAATTATATAAAAGAATTTAAGATATGATAAAATGGTGGCTTTAAATGTATGCTAAAAGATTTATTAATCAATAAACTTATTTATGGGTAATTATATGTAGTCATTTGAGAAAAAAAATCAGTTGGAGCTTTATATTCTGCCAAAATAAATTCCATACGGATTAGAGAATTGATGTAAAAATAAAATTAGATAACAAATGGGTAAATAATGAGTACTTTTATGATGGAAGAATGGTTTTAAAATCTTTTAAATAAATCAGTCAGGATGTCACCATGACTAGGGTCCTGAGGAGGTCCCCCAAAAGGGAGATGGACCTCAACACAGGTCCTAATGGTCTTTGACATCATTGCAAAAAGGAATTGAAGCTATGGGTCAAGGAGTTACAGATTGAATTTATTAAGAAAGAAAGAAATACTCTGAAAGAAGGTGGAGTGTGGGTGTTGGAGAGAAATGCGATAACTGCAACTAACTATATTCCCATATGTAACATAAATAGTACAAGGACATGACCTAAGAGGGTGTTTTTGGCTCTCCTTGTGTTAATAACTGAGCATGTTGACCATTACCAGGACGGGTAGAGGAGTCAAATACTGACGTGTCAACTGCTATCAGGAGGAAGCAGTCATTTTTTTCTGTTTTGTTTTTTATGTGTTCAGTTTTGTGCATACAGTACTATATGTGGATAAGGTCTAATCATTGGCTTAATAGTGCTGTTTGTGGTCATGATATGTAAAAGTGACTTTAAATCCGGACTTTAATTCCACATGAAACTGGACTTTAAATCTGGACTTTAAAACGTGGCCACTCTTGTGTTGTCTCTCATGTCTCCCTTCTACCTATCCTTATATATTCTATCCAATTTTGAAGAACCTAAGAGATGTTGAACCAACTTTTTAAAAAATATCATTTTTAAAACCCAAAACATGTACATGATGTAAGAGATAAGGAACAAACTGGAAAAATATTTGCAACAAGTATATAGAAAAGTTTATTATTCCAAGTACTCTTGAAATATCTGAGGAAAATAACTAGTAAAAGACATAAAGAAGCAACTCATAAAAGGAGAAAAAGTGTGTAGCTTGGTAGACAAGCAGGAACTCCAGAGCTAGACTGTGTCCAAATGGGCCCTTTGCCAGTGTTTAACCCTATGACCTTGTCAAGGTACTCACCTATCTGTGCCTTTGCTCTCTCGCCAATTTGTTCAGTACAGGTTTCCCCCACTAAATTTTCTTAAACTAAGATACACTTCTAGAAATAAAGATTTTTAGTTTAATATGAAGTTTTTAAAATGTTCACATCAGAACATTTACTAACTTTGAAATATTTGATAAAATGGCATCTCTTGTTACTTTTAAGCATGTTCAATAATGAAACACGTAAGTGTTCAAAGATAGTAATTTCAGTGATAAATGGAATAGTCTTTACATTTTCATTCTTGAGGATTCTGAGGTTTGAACTGCTGGTGTTTCTATGTCAGCAGTACCACAACCACACGGTTTCCCTTCTCTGATTCTCCGTTTCCTAGGTTACTATCAGAGTACCACCCTATAGATGAGGGTGAAGAATAGATGCTGACATTGTAATCCTTAGGAATGGTTTGTCAGAAGCCAATGCAAAGATGTGAAAGCTGTCTTTTAGTTAGTTTTCTGCTGTGATGACAGAATACCTGAGACTGGGTAATTTATAAAGAAAAGAGATTTATTTGACTTATAGTTCAGCAGGCAAGGAATTCCAAGAATACAGCATTTGAGAAGGGATCTAATGCTGCATCATCCCATGGCAGAAGGCAGAAGGGTAAGGGAGATGAGAGCAAGGGAGAAAAGGTCTGAACTTGCTTTTATAGCAAACCCACCCTCATGATGATCAATCCACTCCTGTAATAGTGACATTAATCCATTCATGAAAGCAACACCCCCATGATTCAATCACCTTTCATTGGGCCTCACCTCCCAACACTGCCACACTGGGACCTAAGCTTCCTACATGGACTTTTGTGGACACCTTCTAACCACAACAGAGAGCCCCTCTACAGCTGAGCTAGACTTGGGCTTTGTTAGAACCCTAGGGATGTATTTCATTCTACCTAGATAATCTTCAATGCCAGTATGTGGCCTCAAAGGTGAAATATATGGTCAGAGAGAAGGCAGAAACTCATAGGTCTGTAACTGCCATGCTCTGGAATCATCAGAAGAGCTCTGACTCATTTGCATGAGCATGTGAATTGTACACTTAGCTGACAATGGAGGGATGGCTCCATTTATAAGACAGCTCTCACTTGTGGTTTAATGTACTTGAAGTATCCAATTTAAACTGGACCTGATACTCATTCTTACTGTGCTTCCACCTGGATGTTATGACCATCACACAGTACATAAAAGAATATAAACTAATCAGATACTGGTAGTTAATGTAGCAAAAAAAAAAAAAAAAAATCTTAACCTTTCCAAATGGCTACTACTTTAGAAGGATTAAAGCAATCAAATTTTTTTGTACAGAAATTAAAGATATTATAAGAGCAAGTATCATTTATTAAATGCTTATTCTTGGCCAGTGACTATGTTGAATACTCTATGTTTATGTACCTGGTTTTAAAAAAAA